AAGGTGTAGAGCTGGATGAACACAGCAGGCCAAGCAGCATTAGAGAAGCAGGAAGGCTGACGTTTCAGAAAGAAGAAGGGTCTAGGCCCGAAACATCAGCCTTCCCGCTCCTCTGATGCTGCTTGGCCTGCTGTGTTCATCCAGCTCTACACCTTGTTATCTCGGATTCTCCAGCATCTGCAGTTCCTACTATCCTGAAACAAATTTAAGAAGTTAGTTTTCATAAGAAATGTGAATACAAGAGTCTGTCCTCGCTCAGTGGATAGCACTTTTGGCTTTGAATCAGAATGTGTTTCACCACAGAAGCTGAAACTCCAGGGCAGTACTGAGGGAGCTTGCATTGCTCGAGGTGGCCTCTTTCAATGAGATATCAAGCTGAGTTGTGCCTTCTCTCTCAAGTGTAATAACTAAAAGATCAGATAGCACCTTGGATAAAAAAAGCAAGGAGGTTTCCTGTGGGTGGCGCACCCTCGGGTGACTGTCTGTGTGGAGTTTGCACATTTTCTCTGTGTCTGTGCAGGTTTCCTCTGGGTTCTCTGGTTTCCTCCCAGAGTCCAGGAATGTGCACGTTAAGTGGATTGACCATTCTAAATTGCCAATTGTGTCCAGGGATTAGCCATGGGAAGGGTTAGCCATTAGCAGGGCTACAGGGATAAGGGGTAGGTTTGGCTGGGATGCTTTTCGGAGGGTCGATGCAGATTCAATGGGCCAAATGGCCAGCTTCCATACTGTAGGGATTCTGTGATTTTATGATTTCGCCAATAGCTGGACCATCATCATTGAAAACTGATTATCTGAACATTTTACATACTGCTGTTCACAAGACCTTACTATGTATGAATTGGCAGCTGTGCATTACTGCACATTACGAGTGACCATTGGTCGTTGAAGTGATTTTGAACAGCTTGAGATGAGGAAAGGTGCAATACAATACAGTTTCTTTATTTAAATGAGTAAGGTGATCAATCGGGAAGCTGACTTCATGGAGTTCTGAAGGTGAAAGAGGCTGAAAAATTGCCTTTTAGGATGAGTTTATAATCAAAAATTTGCATTCCCTGTGTATGTGTGCAAGACAGCATGTCATGTAGTTTGTTGTTGATCTTGGTGAGGGTGAATCTCTGAACCCAGGAGTATCAGCCAATCTTGGTTGCTTAATAATATGCTTTAACATTAATTGGCAGAATACTAATGCCATTTAGTGAGGGCTTTTTTTGCAGTGGAGATGTTTTTGCAGAAGTGCATAATTAGATAGTTCATGTCCTATGTATTACCCTCTACCTTAGAAAAAGGAATTGGTTACCTCAGCCTTGTCTAAGTGCTCATAAAGCAGACTTTCAAATAGTTAAAATTCAGTGTTTCCATTTATTCAACTGAAAACCATAACTGGTGTGTGAGCATTCTGTTAAATGAATAGCAATTATGTATACATCAAAAAGCTCATTATTTGTAATTATCAACTCTGTTGCTCGACAAATAACATTTATTTGAATGAGAAAGTAAACAGTAGTTACAAAAGTCCAAGTTGTGGGCGGAGGACAGCGATCACAGTGGAAAGGGACAGAGACTAAGTGGGAGGTAGGCTGAAGCACTTCTGCATTTCCTGGCCCACACATGTCTCTGGAAGATGAACTTAATTTCTGTAGCCAGCAGTTCCGGTCTCTAGTGCAAGAGACACAGGGTTGCTCTCATTCAGAAAAGCTCATGTGGCAACTGTTCATTTTGGGATTTGGACCCTAATGTAAACGTATTAACAAGCTGCTCCATCCCTCTGCAGCAGAATGCCACACACTGTGAAAGCTACCACTCTGACTATACTGATAAGAGGGTCCCTGGCAAGTTGGCGATGCATTCTTGTTGGTTTTCATTCTCCCACTGCTTGCTGGGGGAGGACATTCAAGGCTACATAGGTAGCACTGGGTCAAGTATAAATCGAAAGTATCTTGAAGTTAGTTAGACATTGGTGACTTCTGATGAATTTATAGAAGTTTTCATCAGTAAATTTAGGTAGAGTTCTTGGTGAAATGAATTGAGTGTGACCCATTGAATGAAACAATTTGAAAAGCTAAATTACTTCTGTTCTAATCTTTCTATTTGCACGTGTCAGCTTGACCTTTGTGGATAATCAGCCAAATCGTCAGATTATTCTCCATATGAAAAGAGGGTAAGATTAATGACAGAATTAAGCCACAGTGCTCTTGTGCACTTCCTATCAGCTTGTTGTGTTGTGGGATTGTTGGAAGTCCGGACACAGACTTCATGGAGCGTTCTGTTTATCTTTCAGTGGTTTGGTTATTGGCAACATATTGTATCCTGAACCCATACATACTGTAAAGTCTCAGTTTGTGATCCTGGACTCTGTTGGTTTCAGTTTGTCTCCTTGAACTGGGAACAGGAAGCGATCTGCAAAGGATTCTCACTCCTGATTGCTTTTATTTACATCTTTTATAATCTATACACTATATGAGATGAGAATTACAACATAGCAATAGAGCCTAAGAAACTGTGTGAAAAGAGTCTTCACATTCAAAGTGTGTGGTGGTGGAACATAAAGCAGTTCCTCAGGCTTCAGAAGAATGAATGTATGCAAAACGTAAATTTGCTTTGGAAATAGATAAGAGAAGGTAGGCGGAATTTTATTAGTTATATGGTGGTCCTGATAGAAGTGGAAATGCGCTCTACTTTCTCCTCCTGGCTTTTTCCTGTTTCCCATGTGATTGCAGTTAAAACTTAAAGTGCTGGCTGCATGTACCTCAAGCACACGTGACTACGTGGCAAAGGAAGCTTCTCATTGGGGAAACCTGCCATTGGCTAACAGCCGTAGGTACAAGTGGGCTATAAAAAGTACCCTTGTCAAACAAGGAGACTCTGCAACATGTCGAAAACTTTCCTGTTCAATTCCATTGGCATTAATATAAGACTTACTATGAAGACAAAAACAGAGACTTGGGAGCAGAAGGAGAGCATTTGATCCTGTGAGCCATCTTTGCCATTCCATAAAATCATAGCAATGTGACTGTGGTTTCAACTTCACTTTCCTGTTTGCCTGTCCAATATCCCATAACGTCTTTCGTGATCAAAATTCTAACTGAGCCAGCCCCAACTCGATTCAATGACCTAGCCTCCACCGTTTTCTGTGGAAGATGGAAAATAAAACATAGCAATAAAAGACAGCTGACACTGGGATTTTTGGGTCTCTGTCTCTGGTCTAGCCTTCAGGGCAGAACCCAAAAATTCAGCCCACTGTGTCTAATTCTAGGCACTGTCCTTTGGGAAAAATGCTTATCAGTTGGATAGGGTGTATACAATGCTAGAATGCTATCAGGAATGAGAGACCTCTAACAAGGTGGCACAGTTTGTTTCTGAAATGTAAATTTCACTAAATTCACATTACACTGGTTTCATTTTATCCTTGGTCTGCATCATCTGGCATGACTTGTGGCTGGCCTGTGATTAAGGTTACAAGGAGTTAAGGACATTTCCTTTATAGTGGACAGAGCAATGTTGTATTTCTGTGGTCTTTTTTATTGAATGTTCATATTAATGTTAAATGTACAGCGTTGTATTCACTATTCTGTGGGACATGGCTAACTTTTCAAGATCAGTTGAATCTTCCTACTATAGCGTTCAGGAGGATGCTTTTTGTGATCATTGTCAATGGAAGTAATTGAAACGTTCTAAGTGTCCTCAAAGCCCTGTAAGAACTCCGCCAGTCAAATGACTGAAATGGACACACGTGTACTGACCTTGCCCTTTAAGTCTCTCATTTCCTTACTTTGACTGACTGTCCCCACAATTTTCTCAACACCCCAAACTCCAGACACTTCCCTCTTATGCTCCTTTGTGTCTCAGACTTCCTTTGGATCCCTATTCCATTACTCCATACCCTGACCTGACACCTCAACTTCACTTCCCTCCACAGATACACCCATGCAAATCCAAATCTCGATGCAATTTGGCATTCTCCTTCTTCCCTTCCATGTGCTGAAGAGTTCAACAAGAAAATTTGCTAACCTCAGGCAGAACTGCACAAAGTCAGCTGGTGCATGCCACTTTTAAACAACATGAAATGGGTGCAAGGCGATTCTTGTGAGCTGCTGACTTTATTGTGAATGTAGGACTTTATAATTTTATTGTAATGAACATTCATAGAATGCAAATGTATTGCAGTACAAAACCCATCATAGCGTGAGATTTGGCACACCACAAACATTCCACTGACTTTATCTCTGCCTCTTAACCTGCAGCCAGGAAATAGCAATTTTGAGTCTTGCCTAACTCAGTGACCCCGCAAGCCATGTTTTCCACAATTCCACAATTGCAGGCTCCATAAAATGCCCCCTAATGTTATCTGTCTAGATTCCTCCCTTGATCTACCTTCTCAATTACAGCTTCTACATTAAATGTTTGCCTTCTCTGCAGTACACCAGCTAAACTAATTCATGCTGCTAACGAGTTTGCTCTCTCGGATGGCATGTGCACAAGCACTGGTGAAAC